AAGGTCTACTTTTAGTTACCTTCAAATTTTGCATGTTTGAGTCCTCTCTGTTCCTATTCCTACAGCTATTAAAAGTCAGTTGCACTTTTAACACTATCTTGTCAAATGTGGGAAAGTTATTCTAAATGCCTCAACGGACCTCAAAGAAGCCCCAATCATGTATTTTTGCATTGCGCACCTCTTTACCTAATCCTGATCCAAACCAGCAATGAAAGGTCCATTAATAGTCTCTCTTACCCCTCACAGATCTTCTTGATTTTCTGTCTGAGCTGCTCTCCTTGATAAAATATGATAAACATATTCTTTTTAATTTCTTCTTTCTGGAAAACCAGAACAAGGAAAAACATGAATATTTCTTTCTAGTTAGAAAAGTAACGCTCCGTTTTTAGGTTTTAAAAAAATTATAAATTTAAAATTGGAAAATTTCAACTTGCCCCAGTTGTTCTAAGTTCATAATCAATTATGGTTGAGGGCAAGGCCACGGAGGCAGGCTGTATGGGGCCACCAGGGAGACCAATTCAGCCTCAAAGTGACAATGCTACTGTTGACACCACAAGTTGGCTCAGAGCTGGGCCTTGTATTCAGCTCTAAGTCCTACACTGAAGAGTTATATTATTATAATAAACAAGACCACATCCAGAAAAAGGGAACCAGGACATTGCAGGGCTTAAAATGAAAATAGCTGACCCAGCTCACCAGTGTTAACTCACACACACCTACATTTCAGGGATGAATGGGTGTTCGATATTTAACAAAGGTAAAGCCATGTCTAATGTGTGACCCTCATGGTTCACTCACTGTACATCCATAAGAACACTGATTAAAATGCATCTTTAAAGNAGAACATTGAGAACATATCAGTAACTCATTACTCTCCCAAAGCATAGAATGTTCACTGCATTCACTCCCTTGGGGAGCAGCAGCCATGCACTGATGGAAAAGAAGAGAAAGGAAAGTTTCTGTACAAAAGATTTGGGGAGAACCAGGGTCTAGAAGCGGACGTCTGAAGCAAAGGTCCTGCCCACACAGAATGTTGGTGATTCAGCCAAAGCTTCAAAATGCAGGCCCAGCTCATATCAACGCATTCAAAGGCACAAAGGTATATAAGGACGACTTAAAAGGTTTCTCCTAAGAAGGCCCTCTTCCTGAACCCTCAAATGTATCTGAGATGAAAGGTGCACTGACCTTTGAGGGATTCAGCTGAGGAGAAACAGAGGTGCCATTTCTGGCAAACCAGCTTGTCCTGGCTCAAGCCAGGAGACATGGGACAGCACTCCCGTAGGAAGTACACTCACACAGAGGGACACAGAGTGAACAGAGAGGTGGCTCCGTCCCTGGTCATCACCGTGGGTGGGGTCAGACCAACAGGCGGAAAGTTAATCATAAAACTCACATGTGGTTGAAAAGGCTGAGGATGACACCGAAAGTCATCTGGACGATTCCCAGGATAACGGACATCTTCATCTTATAGGAGTTCAAGAACGTTAGTTTGTTTGAAGCCAAGTTCCAAATCTGGATGGGAAAGGTGACCAGAAACACGTGAGACCAGAATCTAGAAGCTCAACTGGAGTTGGAACGCTGCACGATTTCCCCTGAGGAAGTCACTCTGGGAGCCACATTTTCAAATTTCAGTGCAGTTCAACTCATGCATTTTAGGTTCAGAAAAGGACCAAGCCCCTTATAAGAGCAACTCTGATGATAAAAACGTCAGAACCATTAGTACCACTGGTAAAATATCAAATGGCTGAAAGGAAACTGAGGAGAAAAATCCTACATGATTTTTCCCTTGTTCTAAATGAGAACAGGTTCTGAACTATTATGGAGATCGCCAACTTGCCTCAGTTCCCTGAATGAAGGTATATAGCTCTCTGGCCTGTGAATTTATCCAATCCTTTCTTAATAATACCACCTTTTCCTTTGAATTCCTACAGCACTTCACATTTAAAAGCATGTTCCAGGCCTCTGTCAAGTAGCCACTCCTATAATCTATATTTATTAGCACTATGGGTAAGTCACGGTCCCTGCCTTCTACAAGGTCCCAGTTCACCAAACTTGCAAAGTAAGGAGCACGTTGTGCGCCTGCCTGCCCCAAAGGAGAATGACACAGAGAGCAAGATCTCAGAGTGGTTAGGGGGCTGGTCAGGGTCTCACATGGGTTAATGACGCCAGTCACTGAGGTTCTTCTTCTCCACAGAAATCTCAGGCTCCCCTGTGATTTCCAATCCCCAGCCCCATGCAAATGATGCAAGTCCTTGCTCCTACCTCTAACCCCTCTTGAACTTCAGGCCCATCCCAAACCGCCGGCTACACACATCTTGAGGATTTGCCTTGCTGCATCTCAAAGGTGACAATGCCACACAAGGGTCTTCTCATCTTCCCGCCTAAAATGACTTCCCCCTCCAAACTTCTATGCCGTCAAGGGGACAACATCCACCTAGGTGCAGTGTCGATGCATTGTCACCGTGCCCGCTCCCCCATGCACACACAGTGGTGGGAAGCATGTCTCCCTGATTCTTGCTTGGCAATGTCTCCGGCTGGACAATCACTATGGAGGCTGCTGGGAAGGGGAGGGGAGGAGCCCCAGTAACAGGTGTCCACACACCAGAGTCTCCTCTACCCTCCCCTTCCGCCTTGGCATCTAAGCTGCACCAGGCTTGCCCTCCACCCTCTGCTCTTCCTTTTGCCCACCTGGTCGGCCAACCCCACAGGGTCACTCGACGGGGTGAGGGCAGGGTACCCAGCACACGACAGACCCGGCCAAACCTGATCAACTAAAAATGTTCATGGTTAAGGACCAGGCACATACTAAGCTCCCGACATGGAGTTATCTCATTTAATTCTAACAAAACCTCTATGAGATAGATACAGTCGTCTCCTCCTATCTGCGGTTTCACTTTTTGGAGTTCGTTACCCATAGTCAACATTGGTCCGGAGGTCAGAAGCTATTAAATGGAAAAGTCCAGAAATAAATAATTCTGAGCTTTAAATTGTGCGCTGTTCTGAGTAGTGTGATGAAATCGTGCACCATCTTGCTCCATCCCACCTGGGATGTGAACGATTCCTTTGTCCAGTGTCTCTATGCTGTACACACTCCCTGCCTGTTAGTCACTTAGTAGCCGTCTGGGTTATCGGACTGACTCATGGTATCCAGCGCTTGTGTTCAAGTCACCCTTATTTTACCTGATAATGGCCCCAAAGCACAAGGGTAGTGCTAGCAACTTGGATACGCCGAAGAGAAGTGGTAAATGCTTCCTTTACGCGAAAAGGTGCGTACAGTACAATAAAATATTTTGAGAGGCCACATTCACATAACTCTTATCATATTATATTGTTATAATTGTTCTACTTTATTATTGCTAGTGTCTTACTGTGCCTAATTTATAAATTAAACTTTATCACTGGTATGTATAGGAAAAAGCATAGTATATACAGAGTTCAGTACTATCCACGGTTTCAGGCATCCACTGGGGGTCTTGGAACATGTCCCCCATGAATAAGGAAAGACTAGTATATAAGTATTCCCATTTTACAGATAAGGGGATGTATCTTCATCTCAGGGGGATTAAGTTACTTCCACACCTATGAAGAAATAATACAGAGCGTTTACCCCATGTATGCACCAGACCCTATTCTGGGTGTTTTACATGTAAAAATCATTTACTCTTCTGAGCAACCCTATGGGGTTATCACATCCATATTATAGACAAGGAAACAGACACAGAGATAGTAACTTGCTTGAAATCACATAGCAAGGAAATGGAAAAGCCAAGATTTAAACACAGGCTGTCTGATACCAAAGTGGGCCTCTAACCACTGTGTTATGTTCATTTGTTATAAAATATTTACAAACACCTTTAGAAAGACCTCTCAGCTCTGATAGCCAAATATTTTGCGATTGGATTCAAAACAGATGCTGCACAGTCAATAAATGCAGCTGTAGAAATTTAAACGATGTAAAAATCAAGTCCTTCATTGATGCCTACAAGTGTTAATACAGGCACAGAAATGTTCTATACAAAGGTCCTCTCTGGGGAACAGGAGTGCAGGAACAGGACAGGTAGGAAAGACAACTCTTTCATTTTTTAATATTTTGTATTATATGGAGTTCTAATCATCTATTATTATTTTATAGTAACAAGACAAGAAATTTTCAAACATCTAAATGTTACTAGAAAAAAAAACCTGATTATTTCCAACATCCACCTTCTCTTGCACCCTCACGTTTTCCTTTCTTTTCTGACTAGTGGGCAGATGATGAAATTGCATGCAGAGTGGAAAATCTGGACCGCTTTGTTTTGAAATATGAACTACACCACCCTCCCACTTTGAGGAGGAGAGTTGGACAGACAGGATTTGCTGACGTATCAGATGTGGGCTGCGAAGGAAAGAGGACAGTAGGCACAATGCAATTCAAAGCAAAGCAAGGTCAACCAGACCCTAACCTCACCCCCTCTGTACCCCGCTTCTTGCTAATCATGAAATTCCTAGGACCAAAGATAAAGCCTTCCAGTCTACAAAAATACCAACTTGCAGTTGTCTTCAGCACTTTGCAGCTTACAAACCATCTTTCAAGAACTTTACCACTTTTGATAACTCTTGGAATTCAAGTGCCCCTGGGCAGCATGTGTAAACAAATCCTGGGTGACGCTTTCTGTTTTTATAATGGAGGGCAGGTGGGCAGACAGTGGGAGGACCAGGAAAACGAAAAAGGAGATGACCCACAAGATAGGAGACCAGAAAACCACTGTTAGGGCCAGTAATGTCTACTCTCAGCTATCTGCAACTAACGCTGAAGTCTCAGGTTCTCTCCCACAAAAGCAGCTTAGAAGAGAAACATCAGTGGACGGCATCTGCCAAGTTCAGGTCTAGATCCCTCAGGCTCATTTGAAGCACAAGGCTGCCATCTGGTGGCGACATGAGCTGTGCCATCGTGTGCGTGGCTTTACACAAGTGTGTCTTCTGGAAATCCCATGTCTGAAGGCCATGCGAGGAAGCACCTTTGTTTTGCTTGGCTGATTCAATTGAGATAGCTATAACAAACAAATAAAAGGTACCGCATATCCTGTCTTTGAACTTGCATCAATTCCATTTTTGCAGTGAAGCAAAAATTGAAAGCAAACCCTTACTTTTCTAGGAAAACGAGATGTTGCCTACTGCAGGAAAATGCTAACATAGGGAACTTGATTAGGATAAGTTGCGTATCTAATATTTATACTTTCCAGGCAACCAAGGGCCTTTTAAAGAAGCAATCATTAGCCACCAGGGTATAACTGATGGACAAAGACGCGAGTGTTTGGGGAATTGTATGGAAAATGTCCCAGGGACTGGGTAAAAAATGCAGGTAGGATACTTACTTGAATCCAGCACAGTGTGTCACAAAAACCTCCAGTCCATGTTATCCTATCTCAGCATAAGCTTGTGGGTTTGACAAGTCTTGGCACTTTCTTCCCCTCACCCCGAGAGCTCTTCAGCAAGACATTTAACTAGTAAATATTTAAGCCCAGAAGACAGTATTACCGGATCAATCCCAAATGGGTATGGATTTCCAGAGTACACTCCTGGGATGGCTGGGTCCAGCTGTAGAAGTGGGTTTGTTTCTATCACTTTCATACTACAGAGGGAGAAAGGGAAAACAAAAACAAAACCAGTGAAACCAAAGGCAGGAAAACAACACGATAATACCATCAGTCATGAACTGTCCAGCCAATCAAAGCCTAACTGTTGGCGTAACTCATCCATTTGGCCCATTCAGTTATTCCACAAATGGGTATTGAATACCTAGTATGTGCCAAGGCCTGTCCTAGGTGCTGAGGCTGCAGAAATAATCAGCTAGTCCCGAAGGAGTTCACTGTCTGAGTCTCCAAAGGGGCCTCAGCCTCATGGGGTTTTGGTAAAGAAAAAGCTAAACAGGCAGGGGAAGAGGTGAAGGAGCCCACAGGAAATAAATCCCAGCCCTGGGGAAAGTGTGGGAAATCTCTCCTGGGAATGTGTGGGCAGGACCTGGAGGAGTGAACTGGCTTTCACGCAGGGACTCTGATCTCTGTGAAACACCCCTCCAAAGTTGAGGTCCATTGCCTGTCTTGAAATCTGTGTTCCATTTTACCCAGAAGTATAACACGGAGCGTGCATCTATAGACGGAACCAAAAATGAGCATTTGAAATGATGATGAACAGTATCAGCAACTTTGACAGGATGTCTAGAAATACACTCTGCTCCCTCCAGCCAGTGAGGTGCTAGAGGGGGTTTGGGAGCAGAGGGGGGAGTGAGGGAGCCTGATCATGATAGCCAGGCTCTCGATGCGGAGTGGAAACCGCAGGCTCTGACCGGCCATCTCAGGCCTAGGCCCCTGTCTGAACGGCACGCCTCAAGGCAAAAGGTTGGATTTAATGAGCAGGGATGTGTTTGTGTGTCGACAAAGCAGAAAGCCGCCCCTGACGAGAGGGAACTGGCCTGGCCCCCACAGCTAAGTCTGCTTGTTGGGTATAAACAATTGCACAGAACACCAACATCAGACCAGGCCGCTCTGCGACCGGGATGGGTCCAGGCAAAAGCAACACCGTCCCACAATCATATCTGATACCAAAATATGGCCCTAGAAACATAAGGACATTGTCCAAACCACAAAAATGACCAAGCATTCATTCCCTGTAGCCTCTCAGAGGCCAAGTCCTCGGAGCCCTTTCTGACAGCCTCTTACTGAAATGCCCATGGTCCCTAGTGGTGTGTCGTCACCCTCACTGAGTCAATAAACCCAATTTGGGGTGACGAGAGGTATGTGTCTGGTGGTCTTTGGCTATGACAGTGTCCCTAGTCAATTGTCAGGGAAAGCAGGCCCCAAACCTAGCTTGTGGCTGGCTGGTGACCAGAATCAGCTGGCTGTGTCCTGTTCCGCTCTGATGGGTTAATACAATTGCCTTTTGTCTCACTGCTCATGAGGTTCTGCTTTCTGCCATCGATCCTGGGGCTTGTGGATGAGCATCCTTCAGCTCAGGGCTTGACCTCAAAGAGCCTTCGATTGGGCAGAGGTAATTTGCACGTGCTTAAAAGAATGACATTTTGACCCACATTTGCAGGGTGACAACAAGCCGGCTAACTTGGTCCTTTCACAATCACACCCCAGGGCAAATGAAATTCTGTGTTGGTAGTTTGGTGAAATTATACTGATTTAACTCATGTTTCCAAGTCCATCACTGTACTTAGCAGTTTGAACTGGAAGAGCAGAACTAAGTAATTTGTCTTTACATTTATGAAAGTTTTGTTCTTCTAGGCATCTCTTCAGGATACCAATTGCAAAGCAAAACCAAAAAAAAAAAAAAAACAAAAAAGGAAAAAGCCCCCAAGAAGGACCCATGGGTAATTCTTGGAAAACTTTTAATTCTTCATTTTTATGACCTTTTTAATTGTTTATGTTTCTGTCCTCTACTACAGGGAACTGGAGCCCAGCAGAGAAACTAAAGAATGCACAGGACCTCTAGGACATACCCATCCCATACCATAACAGTCTCTCTGAGCCTATCTATGCCTCTGATCAGCATCAAGCCCTTAAAATGCAGCTGGGAAATCTCCAAGTCAAAAAGAACCCTGCATTGAATCTTTTCTACTGAAAAATCCTTGCACGAGATTGATTGCTTATTCTGTCCCCCCACGGATGATGTTAGCATAGATTTCTGGGAGCAGGTCCAACCCTTGAAGCACCTGAAATAGAACTTTTAGAGTCCTACCATGCTCGGGAGAGAAAAGACGGGAAGCAAGGTTGCAAAAATGTTTACACGTCCCTGCCTCCACTTTCTTTCGGTCCTCCTGTCACACTTTCAAGTGGAAGTCCCAGAATGAGACAGAGAGACCTTAGCTGGCCCGAAGAAGCTGGGCAGACAGACGTGAGGAAACGCCACTGTGACCTTCAGGTCTTGTAAATTAGCCTGAAACGACTGTGGTTATCTCGGGTGTGGAACACAGGCGGCCGAGGAACCCCCAACGATCACAAGGCAATCGTGATTTCCATGTGTTTCCTCTGTCGTCCCCTGCACTCCACACTGCCTTTCTGTTCTCCCCAGTTCATCAAACTGACCTGCCTCTCAAACTCTAAAATCTTTCTCCCTCCCCGTTCCTGAAGGGTTGTGTTTCCATTCTGATGACTGCTCATCTGGTTAACTGCATAAAATAACTGGGGTGCCTGTGGGCAGTGTGGCGTGTGGGGATGTAGAGAGCTTTCTTATCTACAGTCAACACATCCCCTCACCAATCGGCCCGCCCACCCTCATTACCCTACACCTTTCCTCCTCACTCCACCACCCACAAGGCAAACACAGGGAACCAGCTTGGCCAAACTAACCATCTCGTCCTTTGCGTTGATCAGGTACAGAAAATCCCCTTTTGGAGAGTCTGGGGCCTTAACTACTGGAAACGAATCTTTCATATAGTCCCATGCCTGCATCAGCCTTTCTTAAAGCGAAGCTTCTATCCTAATACACAATCTCAATCTCAATCTCAATCTCTCTCTCTCTCTCTCTCTCTCTCTCTCTCTCTCTCTCTCTGTCTGTCTCTGTCTCTGTCAGAGCAAGGTATGTTTTAAACGCCACCTCCTTCTCCAGGAAGCCTGCTGTTATGACTGGGACGAGGATGCCCGCTTTATACCTACTGCACTTTTCACAGTGGTGCCTGGCACATGGTACATACTCCAGGATATAGACTTAGTTGAGCTGAGGTTTTAAAAAGCTATTTCCATGCATGACAGTTACCAGCACAGCTACTGAGGAAGAGGCACAAGATCTCGCACCCAGTTGATAAAATGAAATTATATGTTGAATTTGTAGGAACAGAGCCACGTGTAGACTCGCCCAGCCATGAAAACTGTCCCTGAGGCCTACCTTGGATGGTCAGGGAGTGACCCACCTCCGTCTGTAAACTTACTTCCATGTGCCATTTCTGAACATGGGCTGGACACTCCAAGAAGAGCCGAAGATGTTGAAGGC